TTGACATTTAGTATTCTCACCATATTGAAGAACAGTATTGGTGTTTCCTGGTTTTACGGTCGTGATTTTCCTTTATGTTCCAAGCTGGAACTGGTCCTTCTATGTTAAACATGGGTTTTTTCTGAGTAATAATAGTAGTAGTGTAGTTTTATTAGAAATTCAAGGGGAGATCAATGAACTGGCAGGTATAGTTACATCTGTATATATTGATAATTGGAAGTATTTTTTATTTGTTTGTGATAATTTATTATATGCAATCAATAATTAGGACGATTCGAGGTTGGACAATTTATATATTCTAAGTTTTTGGATTCAGTTCTTAGCAAGAACAGTGAGCTATCATCTCGTGGTGAGATGTTTCTAGGACTAGGTCTCAAGGGTTTGCTTGCACCTATGGTCGGTGCGGAGTTGTAGCTCAGGTTAATGTTAAAAGTTTTATGTAAGACTGGTGATTCCAACTTTGCTATGTTTTTGATAGTCGTCCAGGGCTGAGTCGTTTATTGTGATCTATATGCCATTTTTTTGGGGAAAATGTTAATAAAATTATATTTGCTGGGTTAGATAACCCATTTGACGGTTATGTGAAAAATGATTAAGGGATTTGACTTAAGAGTCCAAAAAGGGGCATCTTCAGTTGTCATGCCTTTGTCGGAACTACAGTTCCTACTTTTCAAGATGGAGTGGGGTGTTGTATCTTTACCCTAAATCAGAGGGTCCTCCAAGCTAGGAGCATATAACCAACACCAGTGGGCCTCTTGACAGATGAAGCTAAGGACAGAGTCTACGCACGCCTGCAGTGCCCTCTTTGTCAATTGTCATCAAAGTCAGACAGACGATAACAAAGACACAGAATTACCACACCAAATAGAGAGGTAATATAATAGTGTAGAGCCTTACACCTATATATACATTTAGTCCAGGTCAGGTCCTTTCAGGGGACAATAGTCTTTCCATGAGAAGAACGTCACATTAATCCATTTAAATCCCAGAGGTTATAATTAGACATATATGTGTATTTGTTCGAGATAAAAAATGTAATTTTAATGCTTTTGTTAACCTTCACGGTTAATATCTTATGAGTTGAGAAATGTATACTCCATACACGGATGAAGTTGGTAAATTGCTGCTTAGGTGAGCTAACTTTTAATTTTAAAATTGAAATCTCGTTTGTCATAGACTGGTATTGAGATGACCGCTGTAGTCAAATTCGGGGTATATGTCAATAAAAATGCTCCGCTGGGCACAGCTTGATATGACCTCAAATGGTTGAACTCTGAACAGTTGGGGCAAGTATGGACACTACATTCAAAGCTCGATACAGCTCTGAATTTGGATTGTGGTTAGATACTTAACACAGCATAGGTTTCTATGAGAAATGAGTGTGGTCAAAGAACTGAAAAATTTGAAATTGGACTTTTACCTATTATGGTCCAATATCCAAATTTAGACTCATCAGGAGTTGAAAAAATTTTATTTATATGGAACAAAGTTGGGGACCGTGGGAATTTCGAGACAACCGAGCAAGAGACATCTAGAGTTAACTGTATATCATATTGAGACAGAAATGTCACCTAGATTGTATGAAACTTTTTACATGTACTGTTAAATATTGAAAAAATTGTACAAGCATTGTCTTAAGTTTTGAAAATTTATATTTCAATATTACACTTTAACATCGGTTAGAAAATATATAGTACAAAGGCATCTATTATTTGTGTTTGACTTTCATATGATTTATTGTATTTCATTCTTTTCTTAAAACTTAGTTTTTTTATTTTATTAATCCCAACGCATCAGCTTTTGTAAAGGTACCAAGTCTGTACTGAATGAAATGAAAAATAAAAAAAAACACTATTTACATGCATGAGTGCATTAGAGAAACAAGAAATGTTTTGAATTTCCCAGCAAATACTCCTGACCAATGTATTTGAAAGTAATTGAAAAGTAATTCCTAATTACATTACTTTCAATTGTATGTAATTAAAAATATGCTAAATTACATATAACTTTAAGTGACTTTTAAATTCATAATTAAATACAGGTTATGACAATTACATTTTGAATTACCAAAGGCCTGTTTGGAAAGGGATATGGTTTCTTGCATTGTCTGCAGGAAAAACAACATATTTGTCAATACTGAGGATAGGTGTTAAGCAAAATTGAGGTATTTGAAGAGTGTTCATAGACCAATTAATTTTTTTCATTACAATTTGTATCAGTAACCTCACAGTCATAACCTTTTCTGAAGGAGTATCTGCATCTTCTTTTTATGTTTTATCCATTGCCTGGTATAATCCTCGACCCAATCTGTAACTTTAAGTAGTATTACTACTTTTTGAGATGTAGGCAGTATTTTGGATCTTTGACTAACAAACCTAGTAGAGAAGTGTAGTTGACAATGTTCTTGTCACCTGTTATAACTTGGCAAGAGGAATTATATATGCTGTCTTTTAGATTTCACTGATTTGTGGCCTAAATTGATGTAGTCACATAGACTGCTATAGGTATAGAACCACTATTCAGCCCGGTCAGAAAGACATAGAAGAAAGTAGCAAATATTTTAAACAAAATAGTTCCTACGCATAGCTGTAACTTTGTCAATAAGTAAAATATATGGGTAGTTTTGCTATCAAAAAAAAGCTTCGGGACTTGGGATCACTGTAAAAGTTTCCTTTGAAAAGTAAAATAAATGGGGAATGTGTCCATGAGACACAGATGATGCCCCACTTACATAGTTATAAAGGGACATAACTGAAGAACAGTAAAAGTGACACTACCCAAATTTGAACTTGATCTGAGTTTCGTGGTAATAAGTACTGTGTATAAGTTTCATAACATTTAGTTGAGGCAAACTTAAGTAAGAGAACGGAAACAGAAAATTCAGCAATTTTTCCATTTGTAAAGGGGCATAACTCTAGAACGGTTAAAGTGAAACCACCAAAATTCAAACTTGATCTGTGTTTTCTGGTAATAAGCATTGTGCATTAGTTTCATAACATTTGGTTGAGGCAATCTAAAGTTAGAGAACGGAAACGAAAAATTCAGCAATTTTTTTATTTGTAAATGGGCATAACTCTAGATCGGTTATAGTGACGCCACCAAAATTCAAACTTGATCGGTATTTTGTGGTAATAAGCAATGTGTATAGGTTTCATAACATTTGGTTGAGGCTAACTAAAGTTAGAGAGCGGAAACGAAAAATTCAGCAATTTTTCCATTTGTAAAGGGGCATAACTCTAGAACGGTTATAGTGATGCCACCAAAATTCAAACTTGATCTGTGTTTTGTGATAATAAGCATTGTGTATAAGTTTCATAACATTTGGTTAAGGCAAACTAAAGTTAGAGAACGAAAACCAACTTTGGGAAGTACGGACGTACAGACGGACAAGGGTAAAACTTAATGCCCCCTCCGCTACGGCGGGGGCATAAAAACAATTATGAAATTAAGATACAAGGGCATATTTGCCCTGTTGCTCAGATCAGAAGTACCTGTTTATGTACTACCCATTTTCCGGGAACCAGTGTGCTCAAATATGCAATTAAAGGCATGTTGATTTTTTCAGCCCAATTCAGGAAAAGGTATAGTTTTGACGTGAAATGACTATCTCTTTATTTGAACTTAAGACAACATAGCTATGAATGCTTGAAATTGCAGAATTTAACATAGAAAGCAATGGGGCTATGAGTAAGTGGTGTTATTCCTATTACTGAAAATTACTGAAATTCTAATTTAGAATACCATTCACAATGAAAATTGATCACATTTGTTGTTAGTAATCATGTTACATCAACTTTTTTTAATGAAAAATTATGTTGGCGTCAAGTTACAGCTCTCAAACTTCTACAATATAGCATTTGCATGCATTGTTAAGACTTTACCTAAATTTTCAATGTTTGCATTATTTTAGACTGGAATCAATGAACATGTAAATTATGGCTAGTTTATAGTAAAATAAATGGGGAATGTGTCACTGGGACACAGATGATGCCCTAACTTGCATATCATATAATGTTATAAAGGGGCATAACTCTATAACAGTAAAAGTGACACCACCAAAAATCAAACTTGATCTGTATTTTGTGGTAATAAGCATTGTGTATAAGTTTCATAACATTTGGTTGAGGCAAACTTAAGTTAGAGAAAGGAAACGAAAAATTCAGCAATTTTTCCATTTGTAAAGGGCATAATTCTAGAATGGTTAAAGTGACACCACCAAAATTCAAACTTGATCTGTGTTTTGTGGTAATAAGCATTGTGTATAAGTTTCATAACATTTGGTTGAGGCAAACTAAAGTTAGAGAACGGAAACCAACTTTGGGACATACGTACGGACGGACGGACGGACGGACGGACGGACGGACGACAAGGGTAAAACTTAATGCCTAAAAAAGCATAAAAAAGCTTTTGGTCAAATTATCTTGTCAGTCTCCATGTTTTATTGGGTTTCTTATTGTATCATTTTATGAATTTTTTAGAAAATTGGTATATACTTAAATAAGAATTCCCAAATCTCACTTGAAATGCAATTTTCAACCTGTCATTTCAGTAAGTTGTCTAGCTGGTACATACATTAATTGCTCTTGTTGATCCATGTTATTACTTATAAGTATATTTTCTTTTTTACTAAAACACCCCTTTTCCTATTGTGTTATTCCTATATGCAAAGAAAAGTTTTAGAAAGGATCATTTCTCTGTTTCATTTTTTCCAATGCCAACCAGTCTGAAAAATCTGTAATGGGCAATATCAGAGATGATACCTGCAAGTTTGTATTGATTAAAAAATTGATTTGTATCAAGGGTTTTGAAATGTAAATTGTTCAAAGAATATCTATTATCTGTCTATAAAATCCCTTTATACTAATGTCCCTGAAACAAAAAAATAATTTTCACTAAAAATAATTTGGCTCTAAATATAATAAGAAAAAGGAATGCACATTTATCTGTGAGGAAATTAGATATGTTTAGAGAATGCTTATCAATAATAATAAATATCATACCTTCTCTCCCTTCACCTTGGCCTAAAACTTTGACATCTACATATTCTGGTCGTGTTCCAAATGTCCAAGCTCTAAACTTTTGTAACATTGATGTTGATTCTGGTACAAACATTGGCAACCTCAGTTTGTGACTGTAATAGCAAAGGAAAGTTTAAGAAATTTTTTTCCAATGATGATATTACATTTTTTGTTATATGTATATCAAAATATTAAGGGATTTGATGTTGTAAGCACATCTTTCTTGGTCACTGTTTAGTTTATTTAAAATTTCTCACTCCAAGGGTAACTGGATAATAGAAACATAATCACTCTTGACCTCCTGTCGACCAGCAGTAAAACCCTTGCCAAAGGGGCATCCTTTGGTTGTGGGGGATGTTTAAATTCACAGCCAAGTCCAGTCATAATGGGGACGTTAAATCCAACGCCTCATGAAGAAAGAGTATCACACATAATACATTAATTTGATTACACCAGATCTATAAACAGTGATACCTGTCCACAACAAGGTAAGTTATTGATCAGTTGATGTACAATGCTCTAGTTTTGATAAACAATGTAAATGTAACCAAGTTGGTAGACATAATTGAATATATTGATACATTAACTAAAAGTATACACCCAGTTAATACATATCTGATCTAAAAAGTGAACCACATCATTATTGATATCTGGTTCTTTATTTGTAAATAATTTAAACGTAAAACAATATTTTATTTTAGTACACAATAAAATTGTCTAATAATTCTATTATTATTGCAAGTGATGTTTTCAAACTTTATTAGATTTCGAAATTTCCAAACTGTTCATTTGGCTATGCATTTTAGGATATTGTAAAATATACAATTTCCTTTAAACGCCTGGCATAAAAACAGAGGATCATATTTTTCTCTTGTAGAATTAATTCTATTATTAATGGGTAGATCTTTTTACAATTATAAACAAAGTTTAATTTTGGACCCTTTTGACCTCAATGTAGACCAATTTAAAAATGGGGCCCAATATCCAAAATAGTAATACAAGGTTAGAACCCCCAAAAATTAAAGACTTAATTTAATCCCATTGAAGATTTGTATTTATTTTCAATTGAAGATTTCTTGCTATTGCGCAATACTGTGCTGTTGCACAATACTAAGTTAATCTGGCCTTGAGGTCATAAAACTTTTGAGCACGATTATCGTACTCAGACTCAAGAATCAACCAATCAAAATATTGGATTTGATGTTTCGAGCACAAATTTTGTACTCCGAGTACTGAGTAAAGTTTTATGACTGAGGGCCCTGTTATGATATATAATAATTTACACACCCTGTTTGGTGTGTATCTCCTTCCATATCAGTATTTGTTGTTTTTATATATAAATCAGAAATAATCAATGTAAAAATGGAATTTTTTTTGGAAAAAAACCCTAAAAAAAATATGAAAAAAAAATCCCCACAAAAATTTTTTTGAAAAAATTTGAAATTTTGAAAAATCTTGAACAAAAAAGGTATGAAACCCCCCAAAAAAATTGAAAAAAAAATCCCCCCCCCCACCCCCAATTTTTTTGGAAAATTTGAAGATTATTTTCTTTTCAGGAAAAATGTACAATTTCAGAGAGTTGCATAAACTTAAACACAAGTTATTGTCTGGAAACTAGAATAAAATGCTCCGCTGGGGCGCAGCTTGATACGACCGTCGAACCCCCTTATGATTCATCACCCCCAAACTCAATCCCAGCTTTCCCTTTGTGGTATGGTACCTTGCAGTACAATTTCAGAGAGATCCATACACTTACACACAAGTTATTGTCCTGAAACTAGAAAAATCCTTGTTTTTTTGCCCTTTTATGGCCCCTAATTACTAAAATTTTGAGGGAATTTACCCCAAAATGATCTTTTCCTCAATATTGACACAGATGGACGACTTCACACGAAAATCTATGATAAACGGGACGATTTCAACTTCCCAATTATCAATTTCCCATTTCTCAGCAGTAACCTACCCTCTGCCCCTTCGTATGGTGTTTACATATCTCAATTGATACGTTATTCTCATGCTTGTTCACACTATACGGACTTCATATACAGGAGTGTTCTCCTTACGAAGAAACTGCTCCAACAAAGTTATGAGGAGGACAGATTAAAAATGACACTCCATAAATTTTACGGACACCATCACCAATTGGTTGATCCATACGATGTGTCTTTGTCAAAACTAACTAAGGACATTTTTACCACGTGTTAGATAGTGGTTTGTCATTACGTCGTCTGATCTTTTAATTACCAAACGTGACTTATTCCCGATTGTGACTGTTTTGCTGAGTGTGAAACCGCATTGCTATAAGACGTGTCACGGTACCTTTCTATCCCAAATTCATGTATTTAATTTGGATGTTATATTTGTTGTTCTCGTCGGATTTTGTCAAATGTCTTAACCTATTTTCTGTTATATTCGTGTGTTATGGTATAGATAATTAATCACCCCCTTCATTAATTAGATTTTAGTTTGGTTCAACGAAATTTATACGATATATTTGGTTTACAGTTTGATTCAGAAGAAACACCGACATAGCTAGATAATACAATTAATTATCCAATTACTACCACAATTTGATATTGATAAGTATTGTAATTTTCATTGTTATTAATAAATGTAATGGCAGTATTACAAATCTATCTTGAATCAATCCTAATCCTTTCTTATTTTTGGGAAATATTTTTACAAATTCCTATGTGACGTCACTTTGTGTGTTTTTTTAGAATTTCAAATGTGACGTCACTTTGTGCGTTGAGGCTTTAGCTAACTCAGCTGTGTATTTTTATATGTTGGATTAAGTTGTTTTATGTAATGTATCCGTTTTTATTCTGTAGTTAGTCCCCACTTTGGTTTTATCATGTATATCTATTATATAGTCATTTTATAATATTTACTGTTTGCAAAATTATAAATTATTCTAAATAATAAGGATGTTCTTGTCCCAGGCAGAAAATCCTGGCCGTGTTAGACAACTTTTTGGAAGTTTTGGTCCTCGGTGCTCTTCAGCTTTGTACTTGTTTTGGCTTTCAAACTTTTTTTATCTGAGCGTCACTGGTTAGTCTTGTGTGGACGAGACGCACGTCTGGCGTATTGAATTTTAAGCCTAGTACCTTCTGCTAGCTATTATTCGTGTGGTTCTTTGTCCTATATGTTCTCCCATTTATTTGTATTGTGGTCCTGTCATGTGATGTTGTCGTTTTGGTGTTGTGTTTGACGTTGCCATAAAAGCGGGAGGTTTGGCATGCCACAAAACCAGGTTCAACCCACCATTTTTTTCTTAAAATGTCCTGTACCAAGTCAGGAAAATGGCCATTGTTATATTATAGTTCGTTTCTGTGTGTGTTACATTTTAATGTTGTGTTTTTGTTCTCCTCTTATATTTGATGCGTTTCCCTCAGTTTTAGTTTGTAACCCGGATTTGTTTTTATCTCTATCGATTTATGAGTTTTGAACAGCGGTATACTACTGTTGCCTTTATTTGGCCCCTTATTCCTAAACTTTTTGGGCAATTACCCCCAAACTCAATTCCAGCTTTCTCTTTGTGATATGGAACCTTGTAGTACAATTTCATAAAGATCCATACACTTACACACAAGTTATTGTCATGAAACTAGAAAAATGCTTGTTTTTTGCCCCTTTTTGGCCCCTAATTCCTAAAATTTGGAGGCAATTACCCCCAAAATCAATCCCAGCATTCCCTTTGTGATATGGAACCTTGTGATACAATGTCAGAGAGATCCATACACTTACACACAAGTTATTGTCATGAAACTAGAAAAAATGCTTGTTTTTTGCCCCTTTTTAGCCTCTAATTCCTAAGATTTGGAGGCAATTACCCCCAAAATCAATCCCAGCATTCCCTTTGTGATATGGAACCTTGTGGTATAATGTCAGAGAGATCCATACACTTACACACAAGTTATGTCTGGAAGTTACAAAAATACTTATTTTTGGCCCCTTTTTGGCCCCTAATTCCTTAACTGTGGGTACCATAACCCCCAAAATCAATCCCCACCTTCCTTTTGTGGTATTGAACCTTATGGTAAACTTTCATTGAGATCCATTCACCTAAACTAAAGTTAGAGTGCGAAAACTAATGTGTCTTCGGTCGAAGACGACGACACCGGACGACGACGACAACGCCAACGTCATACCAATATAAGACCACAAAGATTTTTTTGCGGTCGTATAAAAATGCTTGTTTTTGGTCCCTTTTTTGCCCCTCATTCATGAACGTTCGGGGCAATTACCCCCAATCTCAATCCCAGCCTTCCCTTTGTAATATGGAACCTTATGGTACAATTTGAGATAGATCCATACACTTACACACAATTTATTGTCCAGAAACAACAAAAATGCTTGTTATTGGCCCCTTTTTGGCCCATAATTCCTAAACTGTTATTACCATAACCCCCAAAATCAATCCCAACCTTCCTTTTGTCGTATTGAACCTTCTGGTAAAATTTCATAGAGATCCATTCACTTTAACTAAAGTTATTGTCCAGAAACCCAATGTGTCTTCGGACGACAACGACATGATAGCATTATACAATCAATTTTTTTGCGGTCATATAAAAACGCAAATTTTTTGCGGTCGTATAAAAATAATATTTCATAGAAAAACAAAGGATGTGGGGTATCCATCCATGACACAAAATCAGTACATGCACAGCAAAAAAAAACACACAATAAGCAAAGGAACAGCGCTTTTATTGCTGTTCTTCAATAGTTTGATTTTAATTTACTGATAACAAAATCAATATTAATACCAATAAAAACAACATTCAAAGATCTAATTACAGCGTTGAATTGGTAACCTTTTAGAATTAGGATCAATAAGTTTACCCGGATCGTTTCTAAATTTCCTGGCTCGGTAGAGAACATCTCCGTAAAAATGAGGATGTGCTATCCCGTTTGAAATAAGTTTGCTACAGGTACAACCTAACTTCCAAACCAAATCTTTATATCTATGGAAGAATTTAGTAAAGGTTTTAAGTAATTTGTGGTAACGAAATCCCTGACTTAATAATTTACCAGTAATGCATAGATTACGTTCATTGAAATCCAAAATGTCACAACAGACACGGGCATAGCGAACGAGTTGTGATATATAAAC